TTTTCAACAGTTGCATCTGAACAAGCGATAAATTAACATCCGTTGTTGGGAAGAATCCATAAACTGTTTTCAGAAGTCTTGAGAAGAAACTGAATAAGCGATAGGTTAACATCTGTTACTTGGAGAACCCGTGAACTGTTTTCAGAAATCTTGAAGTTGAATAAGCAATAGAGCAGCATCCGTTGTTGGGAAGCGTCCGTAAACTGTTTTCAAAAGTTGCATCTAAACAAGTTGATAAATTAACATTCGTTGTTGGGAAAAATCCATAAACTGTTTTCAGAAGTCTTGAGGAGAATCTGAACAAGTGATAAGTCAACATCCGTTACTTGGAGAACCCGTGAACTGTTTTCAGAAATCTTGAAGTTTGAGGAGGAACCGGTGTAGGGTTTCCTGATGATGATGAATCTGGAATAAGCATCAGAATATTGCCATGTCTGGGTCATATCTGAACTATTCCTGGAAAGACTCTCGGAAGATAATGATTTTAGTCTTTCGACTGATCTTACCTGAAAAAGGTAAAGAGTTAGTTATATGCCATGTCATGATGCATGATACAATGTATGTTATATGATATGGATGTAAGTGGATGCGTATGTAATCCGAGAGGGCTGAAGATAAAAAGTATTCTGACTGCTGCCGGGAAGAATAATTCCTGGTTGTTGCCGGAGAATAAGGAGCTTGGGTTGTATACCAATCTTCTGGGGAATTCCTGATGACTTCTACTGGGGAGTTCCAATCTAATAGACTCATGTTGGGGAGGTAAGACTGAGAATCTTCATTTTGGTGGGAAGTATCTCTGTGGGGAGAAGGTTCACTAGTCTGGTTCCGCTGGGGATACTGAAACTTAAACTCTGAGGGGAATTGAGTTCTGGAGGATTCTCTGGCTGGGGATTGTATTGATAAGCTATGTTGGGGAACTCTGATGAACTCCGTTGGAGGTAGGAAGAATTTTGGCGAGTGCGATTTTCCGTGGCAATAAGCTGAGGATAACACAGTTATAAGCCCTTGTGAGGAATAACCTTCAATAAAGCTCGAGAGAGACGCCCGTACTCTGCAGGGGATAAGCTTCCAGAATCTACTGGGGATAAGCTTCAAAACTTGTTGGGGATATGGATTCCAAATCTCCTGGGGGTTTCTTTTGAAAGGGTATCAAGATATCCAACTTCACCTTCAACCTATCAGTAATCCTCTTTCTTGATTCATAAGGAAATGATTATGTTCAAATGCATATGCCTATTTAACAAAACATTGGACGTTTCTCAAAATAAAACAATTAGTGCAAAAGAGCAAAGAAAAGACACAAATTTATGGGAAAAGTATTTGTATTGACTTTATCTGAGTATATTTGTACAAAGGAGACAATCATCCTAGTAAGAGGATTTTGTCGTAAATATTGAAAGATTCATACAAAATAAAGATGGCTATGTGAAATAATTCCATGGGATTCCATTCCGCTATAGCCTTCACAACTCTGAATATCTGTCCATTCAATGCTTTGTCTGCCGATGATTGGGTTGATCAGAAGCCTGGAACTGGTTGATGAAGAGATTGTCTTTGAAGTGATCCGACGAGACATAGTCATACGCTTTAATTCCCTAACTTTTGCCTGAATCGCCCTTTCGGGTTTTCGATCCACCGGGAAACCCCTTTTTGCCCAAGCCGCCCTTTCGGGTTTTCAACTTGCCGGGTGTACAGATTTTTTGTTTTTATCCCTAATTTTTTCCTGAACCGCCCTTTCGGGTTTTCGATTCACCGGGATGCCCATTTTTTCCCAAGCCGCCCTTTCGGGTTTTCGACTTGTCGGGTTATTTTATGCGTAGTATCTTTTGACTATGTCTGTGTTCGCAGGGTGCGGCAAATCGTCGCCGTCCATCGGGTTAGAATCATCGCACCACCAGAAAATATGCTCTTGATCACAAATGGTCCTTCATATGTAGGAGTCCATTTGCCCCTGGGATCACTTTGCGGCAAGATAATCCGCTTGATTACGAGATCTCCGACTTGATACACTTGACGTCTGACTTTCTTATTGAAGGCCTTGATCATCCGTTTTTGATACGTCTGACCATGGCATATAGCAGCGAGTCGCTTTTCGTCGATCAAATTGAGTTGATCAAGTCGGGTCTGCATCCAATCATCTTCATTCAAACCTGCGTCCTTCATAATCCTTAGAGAAGGGATCTGAACTTCCATAGGCAGGACAGCTTCCATGCCATATACCAAAGAAAATGGGGTTGCCCCGGTTGAAGTACGTGTCGTCGTACGGTATCCATGTAGAGCAAACGGTAACATCTCATGCCAGTCTTTGTAAGTGACAGTCATTTTCTGAATGATCTTCTTAATGTTTTTGTTCGCAGCTTCAACAACACCGTTCATCTTCGGCCGATAGGGAGATGAATTGTGATGATAAATTTTGAACTGTTCGCACAAAGCGGTGATCATTGTGTTATTCAGATTTGTACCGTTGTCTGTGATGATCCTGTCTGGAACACCATACCGGCATATGAGATTTTGTTTGATGAAGCGGGCAACCACATTTTTAGTAACAGAGGCGAAGGAAGCTGCTTCGACCCATTTGGTGAAATAGTCAATGGCAACCAGGATGAAGCGATGTCCGTTGGAAGCCGTGGGCTTGATTTCTCCAATCATGTCAATGCCCCACATTGCAAATGGCCAAGGAGCAGTCAACTTTGAGAGGAACCGGAGGGATATGAACTTTGTCAGCGTAGACTTGACATTTGTGGCAAGTACGGGAATGTTGATGGCAGTCAGCTTCCATGGTAGACCAGTAATAGCCTGCCCTTAGGATCTTCTTAGCCATTGTATGACCGCTCAAGTGAGTGCCAAATGTGCCGCTGTGTATCTCAGTCATGATCAATTCTGCTTCAGCTTTGTCTACGCATCAGAGTAATACACAATCATGGCTTCGTTTGTAAAGGATGCCGTTGCTCAGGAAGAATTTAGCAGCGAATTTCCTTAAGAACTTCTTGTCATTTACGGAAGCTCCTTCGGGATAATCTCTAGTCTCGAGATACCTTTTGATTTCATGGAACCAGGGTTGTCCCACTACTTTTTCGGTATTAATCTCGTGGCAATGCGCAGGTTCATCCATTCGCTCGATGGTGATTTGGGGAGCCTCATTATCCCAGTTGAGTTTAAACATGGAGGACATTGTGGCTACACTACAAGAAAAATGATAGATTGGGACGGTTATTTTGGCTGATTACGACGGTTAAAACCGTCGCAATTTACAATCTACGACGGTAGAAGTACCATCGCAGAATCGTGCGTCCCCAGCCTATTTCGCGACGGTTGCAAAACTGTCACGCACAACAGATAGCGACGGTTATATACCGTCGTGAATTTGACTTTATTTTTTGTTTTTGTTGTTGTTTGCGACGGTTATTCTACCGCCGTAGGTTAGAAATTGCGGCGGTTTTAACCGTCGTAATCTGATTTATAAATTTCAAATAATATTTTTATTTAAATTATTATTTAGTAAAATAATTTTAAATATAATATTATTTTACTATAATATTTTACTATTATATTTAAATTATTATTTACTTTAATATTTTTTTATTTATAGTATTTTTATTTTATTTTCTATCACTTTTCAACATAATAAAGTTAATTACAATAAAAACATTTAATATCAAATAATCATCAATAATATCAAAAAAATGTGATCAAAGGTAAAAAGAAGTGCAAATTTTACCAATAAACAAGAAAAATTCAAATATCATCAAAGGCCAAATTTCATTTTAATATTTACATTGGTTTGCTACAACTTGAGAGAATTACAAAAAATCTTCTATGAGTCTTCAACGATTTCACTTCTAAAACTTCAACAATTTGTTCTGCACACATCCGAAACTCTTCTCAGAACTTCATCTCTCCAAAACTCACTCTCTAACTGCTTCTCTACACAAAATCATTTTCATCAACAAGTCCGAATCGGCTTCTCAACAACGATAATCAACATCACGCATACTTCATCAAAACTGCATCATCATCATGTTCAATGATTTTCAAATCACACAGGACAATAATTCCATATAACACTGTAGTAAAAACAAGAAGCAAATTCGTGGAAGAGATTTGAAGAAGATGAATTACCAATGAAATGTGAATTCAAAGTGAGAAAGTGAGGTATTCGTACCTAAGTTTCTGAAGAGATTGCTATCTGATTTTCTCACCATCTTCATCAATTTGAAGAGCCTTCGGAGCTGCTCTGAAAACATCAGCATGTAGAGGAGTCCAAGATCCTGCCAGAAGAAGTGAAAGTAAGAAGTTACTGTTGGATTGCTCATCTCTTCGCATAGAAAAGTGCAGAATCATCTGAGATTCATGGTCATTTCAAGATTTCTTCCCAACTAAAATCACACCTTTTACTCCCATGTAAACAAAACGATAGTCAGAGCAACATATTTCCTTATTTTGCTGGTCTCTGTCGGAATAAGTATTCATTCTAAAGTTATCGAGATACAAGTTGAGCCAATCATCACAAAAGAACATCGGAGTGATGTATGGTACGTAATCAGGATACTCCTGCAATAGTTAGAAAAAGAAATTACTTAGTAAATCATCATCTGTAGTATAACATAACATATGATAACTCTAATGCAACAAGAGGATTATCTAGGTTGACAGGGGCAGACTTCAAAGTAAATTATGAAAAGGCACTACAAATGTACAACAATGAATGATAAAGTGATGAAAAGCCAAAAATGATACCTTCACAAAATGCCAATCCTTCAAATACGGTATAGATGCAGAGTCACCATTACTTACACCAATTTGATTACTGCACTGAACTGCAGAACCTTCATATTTAAAGCAAAGTCGAACGAAATCGGAAACCAACATGTCCTTTTTGCAAGCGAGAATTGGTGTAAGTAATGGTGACTCTGCATCTGAAATTTTTATCAGTAATTCATCTGAGATTGTTATGAAAAAGGGTTGTGCCGCCATCCTTGTCAATGCACCAAGTAACCAGTTCAAACTTCTTGGAGGTTATCAGTGCTCAAAATGTTAAACTTGCAGAGAGGACAGGTGGCATTGATGAGCAGCCATTTGTCAATGCATGTGCAATGAAAATGGTGATTGCAAGGAAGTTCTCTAAGTTCAGCTTCATCATCATAGGCCGAAAGGCAGATACAACATTCCTGCAAATTGATCATCCATCAGAAAATATAAAAGGATAGTCTCGTTAAGCCAACTTAGTTGGTAGCTGCTATACATGGACATCCGACTGCAAAAGAGCGGGTTCGAACATGTTATAAAAAGATAATCCGTATTTAATAACTAGGAACCTACTGCATCTTCTAAGGCAATAATATGCTCAGAAGCTGAACCACTTTCACATTCCGTCATCACTCCTCTCGATGATTCTTGGGCATCACCTTCTTTTTTAAGTTCCTTTATTATTCTGAACTTGTATTTTGGCAACAGGTCAATCTCTTCCTTGGTTGCCCCTTCCTGTTGCCACATTAAATATCAAATTAAGTGTGATGAAGTTGAAAAAAGATTGTTGTGATCTGTGTTACCTGATCAGTCACTGCATACAAAATAGCAAGTATGCATGGAAGAAAACAGCAAACGGCAATTCCAATGAGACACGCAACAGTAACACAAATCACAACAATTGCAACGTCGAAAGCAAGAAATGTGATACAGAGCCTGCAAAATACAACGTGTGTGATGGTTACACAGTTACAAGGTAGAAACATGGGACAAATGCGTAAAGCAAAAGATTTTATCGATAATATATACTATTCTAAGATGTAACTAACCAGTAAAGCTGAGGTGAAACCCTTGTCAAACTCTGACCACCAGCAGTTACCCAGTAGAATCCAAGAAACAACCATACAAAAGAGGGAAACCACTGTTTAGGAAGGGAAAAGAAATTAAAGTCAGGGATTAGATATTATGATGAAACTGTCTTCAAAATGATACATTGAAAAGATCCAATTTTACCCGTAATTCCATTCTGCACAAGCGTATGGACCGATCCGGAGATGAACATATAGACCTGCTGCTGCTACTGCCTTCACAAATCCAACCAAATCACCCCTACCTTCAAAATTGTACTGCCAAGCCAAAATATGTAATCCATCGTTAATTTTGAGAACTCACAAAACTGCAATGTAAAAGACAGAAGAATAACAATATGAAAGTGGAAAGACAATGAAAAAGAACAGAACCTGGCGTCGAACAGGTTCGTGTAAGTTCCAGAAAACATAAGTCTCAATGACATCAATTCCTCCATCTTTGGATTTCTGAATAAGGTCTGGCCACATCTACAACAACAACAACACTACCATTGTTAAGTTCAAACATCAAACACAAATTGAATAAATAGTGCATATCTACTAGCACAGACACGATAATAGTTTGAAATAAATTGAAGTGACTAAATGTAACCATTTCAGAGATATCTTACGATAATAGTGCATAATGCTTTGGTCAGAATCACACTCTGCAACAGAATATGATGCTTAAATGGTTATAAAGTCCTTTTACAACACCCACTAGGCACTATATAGCATAGCATATCAGAATTCTATAAACTCAGCCATACCTTGAGTTGAGCATTACAACAAACACTTGATGAGCATCCTCTCTACTCATTCCCTTCTTGAACATACTGATGTTACGGGACTCCAATCTTCAACTAGGAATTTTAACAAACACCTTGACACCAATGGCAAAAGACACCAGCGTCAAAGTGCTACTGGACTCCAATATTCAACTATGCATTTTCACAAACACCTTGACACTAATGGAAAAAGACACCACCGTTAGCCTCTACAATAACACCATCGCCATCACTGATCTAAAGCTCCATCATCTAATGTCAAAGCTCCGACGGGATCAAAAATTGTGATCTAAAACAAATTAAAAAATATAAACAAATGTATCGATATATAGAAAAGGGAAAAAAGTACCAAATTGAATCCATATCTTCCTCTCTCTTGTTTGCAACGCATCATCTTGTATCAATCAAATACCTCTTCCTTTTCTTTCCTTCTTCAGTGGAGGCGATGGAAGCGTGGTTTGCAAAGGGTTGGCTGACGAAGGTGTGTGTTGAATTGTTGAGTAGAGACGCAGGGACCAGCTGAGTTGATGAACGAAACAACGGATAAAGATTGTTGCGGTGGATGTGGTTCAGCAGATTTTAGCGGTTTGAGGAGGCGGTTGGTTGTGCCTTATTGGTGGGTTGTCGGATAGCTCACGGTTGGAACGGTGAGAGGTGCGATTGCAACGGAATCGTCGGGGTCGGATCGGAAATGGAGCGTAGCACCTTCGTAGCTGGCGACGGCGTGGGCGCCATTGTGCGTCATTTGTGCACGATTGAGAGGAGGATAGGTTGGCAATGGTTCAGTGACTTTGCGTGTTCAGATCCATTCGGAAAAGCTTAAAGGAGCTTGTGAATTTGTTCTTTTTTGTTCTGTTTTGGTTTCGATAACGAATTGTGAACGATTCTGCAGAAACCGGTTAGGAATTGCGGTACAGCTCAGCTTTTTTTTAACTTTTTTATGGCGACGGGTGTTTTACCGTCGTGCCCATGAGAATTTTTAAAGGTTTTGGGTGCGACGGTTGTTTTAGCGTCGTGAAATGAATTTTAGGACGGATAATTTTACCGTCGTGAAAGGTTTAAGGGTGCGACGGGTGCTTTACCGTCGTGATATGCCTTTTAGGACGGTTAATTTTACCGTCGTGACTAGTTGTTGGTGAAAAATCAATGTTAAAAGTGTTAAATGGGGGCCGACGGTTGTTTTACCGTCGTAATAATAATATTATGATGGTTAAATATACCGTCGCAAAATAAATATTAGGGACGGTTGGTGTCAACTGTCGTAAACACTGTCTCTATATGTCAATTACGACAGTTATCACATAACTGTCGCAATTTTTGTGTCGTTAAACACTAATTTTCTTGTAGTGCTAGAGCATCTGCTAGCTGATTCTCTTCTCGCGGGAAATGCTCGAAGGTAATTTGCTCGAAATGAGGCAACAATGTCAAGACATGTTCTTTGTATGGGATAAGATTAGGGTGCTTGGTATCCCACTCTCCTTTGATTTGACTGATAACCAAAGCCGAGTCCCCAAATACGATCAAAGATTTGATCCCCAAGTCTATAGCAGCCTTGAGACCAAAGATGCAAGCTTCATACTCAGCCATGTTGTTTGTGCAGCTGAAGCAAAGTCGGGCCGTGAAAGGTGTGTAACAGCCTTCCGGAGAAATGACCACCGCGCCGATACCGTTTCCAAGTGCATTTGAAGCACCATCAAAGTACAGGGTCCATCGGGATCCCTTTTCGGGTCCGTCATACGGTCCGTTACCTTCAATGTTGTCCAAATTCATGATGTTCTCGTCTGGGAAGTCAAATCTCATGGGTTGATAATCTTTGATAGCTTGATGAGCCAGATGGTCAGCTAGTACACTCCCCTTTATAGCTTTTTGAGTGGTGTACTGGATGTCATACTCAGTTAGGATCATTTTCCATCTAGCTATCCTTCCAGATAAAGCAGGCTTTTCGAAGATATACTTGATAGGATCCATTTTGGAAATCAACAAGGTAGTATGAGTCAACATATACTGTCTTAGTCGGCGAGCAGCCCATACCAAAGCGTAGCAAGTTTTCTCGAGCAGTGAGTAGCGAGTCTCACAGTCGGTAAACTTTTTGCTAAGGTAATAAATAGCATGCTCTTTTCGACCAGACTCGTCATGCTGGCCCAAAACACACCCCATTGAGTTATCCAAGACGGTTAAATACATGATCAGTGGTCTTCCTTCGACGGGTGGCATCAGAATAGGAGGTTCTAGCAAATACTCCTTGATTTTATCAAAAGCAGCTTGGCAATCGTCGTTCCATTCGACTACCTGATCTTTCTTCAAGAGTTTGAAAATTGGCTCACAGGTAGAAGTCAAATGAGAGATGAATCTGGCAATATAGTTCAAGCGCCCCAAGAACCCTCTAACCTCCTTTTCAGTACGGGGAGCGGGCATCTCTTGTATTGCTTTTACTTTTGCTGGATCGACTTCAATGCCTTTGTTGCTTACAATGAATCCTAGAAGTTTACCAGACCTAACTCCAAAAGTGCACTTACTTGGATTCAGCCTGAGTTTGTATTCTTTCAACCTGGAAAACAGTTTTTCTAGATGTTCAAGGTGCTCTTCCTCTGTTTGTGACCGAGATATCATATCGTCTACGTAAACTTCAGTCTCATGATGTATCATATCATGAAACAAAGCTACCATGGCGCGTTGATAAGTTGCCCCCGCGTTCTTCAGTCCGAACGGCATCACCTTGTAACAGAAAGTGCCCCATTGTGTGACAAAAGTTGTTTTCTCCATATCCTCGGGGGCCATTTTGATTTGATTGTAGCCCGAGAATCCATCCATGAAGGAAAACACTTTATGCTGAGCTGTATTGTCGATCAAAATGTCAATGTGTGGAAGTGGGAAATCATCTTTGGGGCTGGCCCTATTCAAATCCCGATAGTCCACACACATCCTGACTTTGCCATCTTTCTTAGGTACTGGCACAATGTTAGCGACCCATTGAGGATAGGACGTAATAGCCAGAAAGCCAGTGTCGAATTGCTTCATCACTTCTGCTTTGATTTTTTCAGACATGTCAGGCCTCATTCGGCGGACTTTTTGCTTGATCGGTGGACAATCCTCTCTTGTGGGGAGACGGTGAACCACGATGTCTGTGTCTAAACCCGGCATGTCTTCATAAGACCAAGCGAAGATTTCAACATACTCATTCAACAACTGTATCAGGCGTTCCTTGACACTTGGTTCTAGATTGGCACCCACTTGCACCTCCTTCCGGTCTTCCTCGGTCCCCAAGTTAACAGTTTCCAATGACTCTTCGTGCGGTAAGATGGCCCTTTCCTCTTGCTGTAGAAGTCTGGCTAGTTCCCCTGGTACTTCACAACCTTCGTCATCTTCGTACTCGGCTTGATTGACCAGATCTTCAGAGTTATTGAAAGATATAGCAGAATAGTCACCCATGGAATCCGGAGTGGATGGGTACCTGCATTGGCGAGTGTGGGTGTGTGTAAGGGATAGCCATCCTTAAACAAAAATGCAAAAGGAAAGAAAATGAACACAAGCAGTTTATCAAATGAAAAACGTCCAATGAATCATTAAACATGGCATATGGATATGAAAAATAATCAAAACCCTTACAAATGGACCTACATGCCCCGGGCAAGGCATGAGGTGAAAAGATAGTGTACGGGTTGTTTGAAAATAAATATTACAGACCAAAATAGGAAATGTTTGACAGATAAATTACTGATGAATAAAAGTGATGGGGACAAAGTCTTTTGCCTCCCAGTTGCACAATCCCCCTTTGACAGTTGGGTAGATCCACTCTTCGATGTTGCTTTCTTTGTCTTCATCCTCCAAAGAGTTGATTCCGTAGGGAGAAATTTTGACTGGCGCTCTTCCAATCTTCGAACGGCGCATAGCTTTCTGGCCCGCGGTAGTGAACCCTAATCCAAATTTGTCTGTTTTATGCGGAATATCAGGAAACTGTCCCCATGCTGAATTCTTCCCTTCCTTTATTGCGGCCCTTGCGTCCTCCAGAGATGCCATCCTGGCCATCTGCCTTGGTACTTCAGCTGCCAACTTTGCTACTGTTATTTCAGGAAGGACTTCTTCGAAATGCTGGAAAGGCGTCTCAATGAACTCCCCTTCTACCTCCACATATCGGAAGGAATTCAAGTGGCTAATCATGTACTCCTCTTCGCCATGGACAGTAATGATCTTTCCCTTGACAAGATACTTCAACATCTGATGTAAGGAGGAGGTGACTGCCCCAGCATGGTGTATCCAAGGCCTACCCAGCATGTAAGAGTATGACGGACGAATGTCCATCACATAGAAAGTAGATTTAAACACCTCAGTGCCTATCTTGATGGGAATTTCAACCTCCCCATGGACCATTCTCTTCGAACCATCGAAAGCTCTGACAACAATATCACTCGGCTTTAACTCCAACCCTTCACAATCTAGTCGGTCCAAGGCCTTCTTAGGCAGTACATTCAGCGACGAACCAGTGTCGACCAAGACATGTGCGAGAGTAGTTCCTCGGCACTCGACTGAAATGTGCAAAGCATCATTGTGGTTTCTGCCTTTAGGAGTTAGGTCGGCATCATAGAAACCTAATCCATTGTCCGCAGTAAGGCTAGCCACGCAATTATGGAATTGATTCGCAGAGGTTTCCTGGGGCACATGGGCTGCCTTCAGGAATTTTATCAAAGCTTTAGTGTGTGCTTCCGAGCAAAGTAGTAGTGCCAGCATGGAGATCTTTGAGGGGGTTTGCCCCAGTTGTTCTACCACATCGTAATCACTCCTTTTGATTATCTTCAAGATCTCATCCATTTCCTTCTTGGAGGTTTTCGGGATGACCAAGGGTTAAGCCCTCGTCCTGACGAGCTCATCTTGGATTCCCTTACCTTTATCAGCAGCGGTAGGAGGGACAGTACTAGGAACAACAACATCTTCAATCAAAGGGGTTCTAGCGGAGAGTTTTATTGGTGCAGGGATGACCTTGTCAACAGATGAGGGTCCAAAGATTGCTCTAGGAGGGGCAATCTCTGGAGAAATGATTCTCCCGCTCCGGGTGATTTTGCTCGTGCCTGCAATGTTTCCAATGCTGGCTTCTTCATCATCCGAACTTTCTTCAGTTATTTCGATTTGTTTGATACCATGGTAGTAGACGTCACCGCCATAGTTCCATGGTATTGACTTCTCAGAAATATAGGGGACAGGCCCTGGCATTGTTATCTTCAAAGGAACAGATTTCGTAACTGGTGTAATCTTAACAGGCTTTTTGACGGCCTTGGAAAGATTGGCGTGAATGGTTATGATTGAGACATCTTCAGTATGGGTTGGAACAGCAGAAACTTTTTCGAACAAAATTTGTCGACTATCCATTAGGCCTTGGATGCCTTTCTTTAGTAACGGACAATCAAACGGCAGAGAGTAACAACAAAAGCAGTCTTCTTTACATCCCGGGAAGATCCCGGCCCTTAACAGGTTCAACTTGATGGTTAACAATGGAGTTATCAGATCATTGACATCAGCAACATACAAATCTTCTTCAATGGCATTGACATTTCGGCCGTGCTTCGGCATGGGAGCAGATATCACATTAGGCTTCTCCGGAGCGTCGAACTCCACCTCCTTTGCCTCTATCAGGTCTTGGATTTTATGCTTGAGTGCCCAACAATCATTGGTGTCGTGCCCGACACTGTCAGAATGGTAGGCGCATTTAGCATTAGGATGATAATGCGGAGAGGACGTATTCACATTCTTTGG